CACCAGGCATTTTTTCTATAAAATTAAGTTTATTAATTAAATTGATATGCTGTCCAAGACAATCACAGGTGTCACTAGCCAAGTGGTTAGGCCACCAGATCTTTAATCATGAGATCACAGGTTTGGTGGTTCGAGCCTCAGCTCCTCAGTAGGACCTTTTGCCTTTGGGAAAGGCACTTTACATGAATTTCCCATTTGGCTCGGTCCTTTACTAAATGGACATTTAACTCGTGCAGATGTATGATGAAACTGAAAAGTGTTATTCATCTTTTGAAATTCTTTGTTTTTATGCCCCCACGAACACAATTTAGATCACTTAGGAGGAGGGTTTCTTGAACGTGCCTGGTGGCGGGACCAATCTGCACTGAGAGGGATACAACATCCGAACAGAAAGGCCGAGATACTGGATAAAAATTCTCCTCACTCCGGAATCAAAATCTGGTCTCCTGCATGTGACAGCGAAGTGCCTCAAGCAGTTGTGATGCCAGAAAACTTCTTTTTAGCTTTAGTAGAGGTTTTACGGCGCTCGCAACTGCATAAGGTCATATGAGCGCCAGAAGATTAGAGATCTTACAAGAGAGTAAGGAACATAAAAAAGAAGAAGGGGAGAGATAAGGACGATAAATGTTTGCTAGGAAAGAAGAAGCAAACCACACCAGAGCACCCGCCAACAACCCACATACAAAACTTCTACCACACAAAAACTAAGTGAAGTGACTTTCCACTACACCACAGATGCTGGTGAAAATAAGTACGCACTACCGGGCTGGGGCGACCATCCCCTACCCGGCGGGTCCCAGGTGGCGGATAGGGAACGGCCACTGTAATGGAGGTTAGCTGTGAATGTTGAATAAGCAGCCCCGGACCAACTGGCGATGCTCTTACCAGGATGGGGTGAGGTGGTAGGTGGCACTACCACGTCATTAAATGCCCTAGGAGTCCTCTGACAGGAGCACAAAGCGGAAAAGGACCGCATTATTGATTAAGTCCCGGCTACGGGTGGGATCTGGTAACAATTCCTCCCTGTGCTCCCAGGGTAGGTCCTAGGACCTGGAGCTGGAGTGCTGTAATCGGAGGTATTGGGCCGCAAGGCGCACTCTAAAGAACCACAATATCACATAATACTGCAATAAATGAAGTATACACTACGCGACCTTAGTGCTTTCTTGTTCTATCTCCATTTTTTTACATTGAAAATGTGACTTCTTCTTAATAGGTCCACTCTTTGTTATGAACTGTTTACACAGTTTGAAAAAATGGAGATACGACAAGAAAGCACTGAGGTCGTGACTAGGTGTCACGTTTTCGTTTATATAGCATAGAGATTTTACTGATTTCCAGTACGTGATCTTAGCATAGAATAGATGACTGGGAAGAGATGATTGTACAAATAATAAACCTCTCTATTTTAAAAAAAATATGAAACGGCTAAGGCGTCTAGATCATAGAAAAGGACAATGAATGGTACAGTTTTCTTGCAGTTGGAGACCACTCAAAATGGGAACATTTAATCTGAAAACAGTGCAAAAGAAAATAAAACCCTTGATTTTTTCTTTCTTTATCATCTCTTTGTAAGTGTAAGCAACATCTCTAAACTGAAAACTCAGCTGAACTAAAGAAAGTAGAAAGTCAGGCAGCAGACTTGCCAACAGCTCCAAATTTCCTGGATTTCACAATCAGGAAGTTGAGAGTATTATCACATAATACTATTAATACTTCACTAAAACCAGTCCTATTTAAATGCAATTTGTTCGTAGTTACACAATTAGGAATCATAATGTTGAGTGCCCCTACACTAGATTTGAAAAAGTTGGCAAGTCTGCTGCGGTACCACAGATCTCATTCTCAGTTTAACTTTTCAACTCCACTGTAAGTGATAGATTCGAAATGAGTAGGAAAGTAACGGAATGAAAAATAAAGGTTGTGTAAAATCAGTTTATTCATCATAGCATTTTAGTGTTTTTAGTCAAACCATAGGCTTTGCTTATATAAGTAGCTGCATCATAAAACTAAGCTGAATCTAGTCAGATAAAAAAAAGTTTTTAGTTAAAATGCATTTCTACTTTTTCAAAGTCCTGAACTCCAGACACAATAAAGTATAATAAAGCCTCTATTTCTTGTATCCCTGTATAGAAGTCTGGGCTGTTTGTCCTCCATATGGCAGCCAAAGTTCACTTGTCAGGACTTGTGGGAATTAAACGCAGCAGTACACACTCTCAACTAGATCTCTATATAAACCAAAAGAAAAGATAAACGAACACGCATTATATATGCTATAAAAGAAGAAAGAGAAAAAACCCAAAACTTTAGCAGGTGCAATGTCAACACTTCTTTTTAAAAATTAGATAAACAAACCCAACTACGATACTGACCACTCACACACTTACTATAAAAGAAAAAGAAAAAAGCCAAAAGTACTTTCTTTTGACTCACTGCAATGCAAACATATACACAGGATAAATGTCTTTTGGGAAGCCTTTCTGCTTCTGGACGGAAAGAACTTTGAGTCCAGCATTTATCATGCACATTTCCAGGTCCCACTTCGGTCTGGTGTAACTACTGTCACTGTCGTCAAACGCTCTTTTGTCACTTTCCAACGTGTTCTCCTTCACTATCAAGACACCTCCTTCCCTCAAACCTTTCTGGCAGCGTTGGAAAAACTTCACCAAATGATCGTCTTCGAGATGGCCTAACACCCACTGACACCAGATCAAATCATACCCCTGCTCAGCAGGGGTAAAGTCCTGGAGACCACTGCAGAATATGTTCTCTACTCGACTCGAATCAGAGCCGATGAACTCCCGAGCATTGTCACAGAAATGCTGATCCTGTTCTACCATGTCGACGGTGTCGAAAATTGGCAGCAGAAGACGTTTTGTAATTCGCCCAATACCGGCTCCGCAGTCAAGAGCACGATTTGGCATCAGCGATCCACCTGAGATCTGAAATACAAACAAACAAAAGTTTCTCTTTACCTTTTTATAACCACTTGTGTTTTATGGAGCTTAAACTTCCATTTCACCAATATTCAATCAAAATCGCAAAGTTATATCATTGACTTTTACCCTCTCCCCGTGCACACCCCTCCATAACTAATGCTTCTAAAGTACCTTTTCAAATGTGTCGTAGCTGTTGGTTGGAGTGGAGGGCGCTACTGGTAGGTCCTATTTCTTTACTCTGCCTCTGTTGTATTGTATCTGTCTGTATGTCTTCCTTTTTTCCAGCACTAAATAACCTGACCATTAAGACTGAAATTTGTTGTGTCAGTGTGTTTTAGTTTTAACAGAGGGGTTTACGGCACTTGCAACAAAATAAGGAGGAGAGATAAGGACGATAAATGTTTGATTTAGGAAAGAAGGAGCAAACCACAACAGAGCACCTGCCAACCACCCGCTGTCATTACTGTCACTTCTCTTTACTCAAATAAACATTTATATATATACAGTATAATACGGATAGCTCAGATTCGTCAGGACCGGCCTCAGTAGTTCAAGGGATCTGTAGTTCAAGGGATGTCTTACAAAGATAAAAAAGAAAAGAAAACGGGACTGCAGACACAGTTCAACGGATGAGTGATTTTGAGTCTTCTGAGTTCGACCTTTCCATGTTATACTGTACATATGTTCTAAAATTTGGTACAGTAGCTTTTCAATAACTTTTTGTTGAGTTTAGTTTACGATCGGAGCGGGCGTAAGAGGGAGTGACCATGCGTTTGTACGTCTAAATTATGATATATAGATCTAGAATCTAGATCTGGTTACAAAAAAACGTCATGACGAAAGTGTGCGTTTGAGCGGAACGTGCTTTTTTATGGTGTGTGTTTATTGTTTATTAGGTGGAGACTACGGTATGAATGCCATGATCAGGAACATAGTGCATAGTCATAGTGGTTAAAAATCATAAAGACCTCTCACCTATAAATATAAATGTTAATCAGATGGGAGTGTATACAAACCCTGTAACTGGGAACAAAGCCACAAAGTATACACACAGACCAGGTAGGGGAACTCTTTTGTGATTTCGGAAAGCTCTTGGCTCAGGGTAAACCTAGGTTCTTCTAGATCTATGGCCTAGGTCTAGATCTAGACAGACAGACATAAATCATTGATCTAGTTTCGAGGCTAGCCTAGATCTAGATATAGATCTAAATGAAGATTGTGGATGTCTTTTCGATGAACCATCGTTTTGGAGTTGGAGGAATCACAATTTGAAGAAAAGTACAAAATGTCATAATTTCAATCGAGCAATCACCCTCTCTATTTCTCTGCCCCTCTCTCTCTCCTCTGTGTATCGCTCGCCTTCTCTTTTTCTTTGTTTGTCTCTGTCTTTCTCTCTCCCCACCTATTTTCCACTCTATCTTTCTCTCGTTCCCTCTTGCCAACTGGGGGCATGTCATACATTTTGCTAGCACTTCTCTCTCTCTCTCTCACACACACACACACACACACAAACACACTACTGGGTCTGGGCTCTGAAACTTTCCGAATTCACAAAAGAGTTCCCCTACCAGGTCTGTGTATACTTCTTCGTGACTTTGTTCCCGGTTACCGGGTCTGTATACACTTCGTAATCAGATTCATCATCAATCACTCCTAAAAGGCTAATTTGGCCTACCCTACGCCTACTGAGCCTACCCTACTAGAAGCCTTAACTAGATCTAGATCTAGATCTTGAGTCTAGATCTAGAAATCTAGACTACTACTGAATGAAAGTCAAAATATAGATATAATTCGAAGTCACTCACTCTCTGACAGTCAAAGTAAGTAAAAAAAATCAAGACAGCTTCTTGTTTTACCTTCAAAAATTGTCGAAGAAATGATTTTGAGCCATTGATGTCTGTTGGGGATATCTTGGCAAATCCTCCAAGCATTCCATCAACAGTTGGTGTCACGCTCGCCCAGTAACCTTTAGCATCCTCATAAAATTTTTCAACACGGTCTTGGAGATCGTTTCCACTTTCGTTTTCGCTGGGCGCCGCCATCATTGCAAACAAACAAGCAGTAACTATAACTCTCGTCGGTCGCGCCACTCTCATTAATGCTCTTGCTGCTAGTATACTCTCAAAACTTAAAAATACCATAAAGAATTTGTTCTCGTAATCAGCATCAATTGGATAGCATGTATGCATCATAGAAAATAAAATTTTAAACCTTGTAAAAGTATTACATTAGTCTGAAAAGTGTTTTCATGAAACAGCGGGAATTACTCAAAGATTTGAAAATTTATTTGGTTAGAGATTTCCAAATATTTTGACATGGCCGACTGCAGTGATAGTCCTCGTACTCTTCAAAGGACGTGAAAGAATTAAATTTCTACATTTTAGCAGAGAAGGATTCATTTACACAGTTTTTTCGAGATGATGATGCAAGCTGAAGATGCTCGTTATTTGAAACGGTAACCAATCTTTACAGAGCTAATGGTTTAACATTCATCCCGGGTTACCAGGGACGCCTACCAGCAAAGTGTCTCGTCTTGTACTTTTGTAGTGAAGCCCACTGAAGCTGTAGATCTAGATTAGATCTAGAATCTGGTTGTGTAGTCTATTGTAGAGTAGATTAGATTCTAGATTCTTGTTTAGATCTACTAATGATACGTGTGTGTGCAGTTCTGTTTCTACCAGTACAACTAGGGCTTTGTATTGTATTATAATACTAATTGAATTTGCTGATTTAGTTGGCACTACATTCATAATTATTATTAGTTACATGATGGAAGTGGCTATCCTCACCCGGGGTAAGAATAAAAATACGATCGACCTCTCACCCCGGGTGAGACTTGCCACCGTTGGCTATTCTCACCCGGTGTGAAACAAGACCTGTTTTTCCTAATTTCGGAATACTGTCTATCGGTGTGGATGATCAAATTGATAAAAGCAAAGAAAAAAATTGCGTTATATCCCAAAGAAAGTGGCTATTCTCACCCGCCCGGAAGTTCTCGCAAGATCAACTCCTCCCCTCTTCTCTCTCTCTCTCTGTCACTTTCTGAATACTGTCTGTCGGTGTGGACGATCAATTGACCAAAACAAAGTTAAAAAATGATGTTAAAACACAAACGTAAATTAATTTGGTTGTCTACAAAGATGCTACGGCTATTTAACTTTTCGAATCGAGCCGAACTACGCGGGTCGCCATTTTGTTATGCCCGGAAATTCTCGCGCTACTCCTCTCTCTCTTTTTCTCTCTCTCTCCACTGCCCACAGACAAAATTGTACGCTTTTAGTAGGCTACAGTTGTAATGGAACGTTTGTTGAAGGCACAGAATTCTACAATTTTTCTGTTATCACAGTGTAGAATTCTGTGGTTTAGGGTGAATGCAAAATTTGGTGAACGCGCACCGGGTGAGAGTAGCCACAAGACTCGCCTGCACTATTCTCACTCCGGGTGAGAATAGAGGTGGCCTATCCCAAAAGTAAGCTAATTTGATCGTCTACAAAGTTGCTATGGCTATTTCACTTTTCTAATCGAACCGAACTACGCGGGTCGCCATTTTGTTTTGCCCAGAAGTTCTCGCAAGATCTACTCCTCCCCTCTTCTCTCTCTCTGTCTCTTTCAGAACACTGTCTATCATTGTGGACGATCAAATTGACCAAAACAAAGTTTAAAAATGATGTTAAAACACAAAAATAAATTAATTTGGTCGTCTACAAGAAAGATGCTACGGCTATTTAACTTTTCGAATCGGGCCGAACTTCGCGGGTCGCCATTTTGTTTTGCCTGGAAGTTCTCGCGCTACTCCTCCCTCTCTCTCTTTCTCTCTCTCTCTCCACTGCGCCACAGACAAAATTGCACACTTTTAGGCTAACAGTAGTAATGGAACATTTGTTCATGGCTCAGAATTCTACAATTCTGTTATCACAGTGTATAATTCTGTGGTTCAGGGTGAACGCAACACTGGTTGGCCTAGATCTAGGCGGTGAACGCCCACAGGGTGAGAATAGCCAAAAGACTGGCCTGCGCTATTCTCACCCGGGGTGAGAATAGAGGTGACCTAGTTACATAGATCTAGATCTAGAAGTAAGTAAGTATTGATGATGATATCAGATAGATCTAGATCTAAATTCTAATTTAATTACTTTTAATTCTAAGTCTAAGTATTAGATCATCTAGAACAGATATAATTTATATCTCATCTCATCACATCCAGTGCCAGATCTGCGACAGACATCAATAGGCAATCGTAGTTCTCCATTCATCATTCCTTTATTCAGATGCTCTTAAAAAAGCTACGTTTCCCTGATCTTTCCCCATTTCCCTGATCTTTCCCCGTTACCCATTCGGGTTTTTTTTTGGCCGGCTCTATTTCTCCGAACGCTCAGGATTATAAACTTGAACTCTATTTCTCCAAACAGTTTGTGTGTGTGTGTGTAAGGTGTAAACAAGGCGCGGGGGATGGAGGGATTTTTGTTGTTGCTTGCATGAAGGATTTTACTGTTTGCTTTAGGGGTGATTATATGCAAATAGGTTGCTGCCAAGTTTTAAGGGTGGGCAGTCCTGTTTTCTCGCAGTACCTTTTGAAGGCATTTTCAAATGAAGTATAGTCCGGAACGTTGCCCCAACCACAACTGAATTTTATCTGAATATTCAGACATTTAAAAATCTCTAGATCTAGCTCTTGAAGAAATTGAATTCAATGCAAAAAAATGCCTCTTCCCAGTCCTTGCAGAATGGCAGAATGAAAGATAACGCCTAAATCTCTAAAAAAAAATAACCAAAAAATCTCGACACCGGAAACCGTTTGGAGGAATAGAGATCAAATTTATTATCCCGAGCATTCAGAGAAATAGTCCGGTTTTTTTTTACTATGCACCCGTCTCATGTACACGTTTTATACACACTTTTTTTCTAGTAGTAATTTGCATGCTGAACACGAAATGGCTTTCATTTTTGCTGCAAAATGATAGTTTTATTGAATTATTGATGTTTGAAAATACTGAATATTTGACTTGATTTTTAACAACATGGGGGGTTTCAGGGGGGCGTGACCTAAAAAGAATCTGGGGTGTTTCAGGGGGGCATGCCCCCCTGCATTTCCCAATGATTCGCTGTTTTGGCTATTAGGATTGATATTTACTCGAAAAGAATTGATTTGAAAGGGTTTTAGTGAGTGGCCATACATGTGTTCTGTACTACAGCAAAAGTTATGGCAGTTTAGCTCTCTAATCACAATACATCTGTGTGTGGGTGCAAGTAAAAAATTTACCCCTGTTTACGTTCCCTAAGTAGGTTGCTCTCGGCCTACCCCTTTCTCGTTTGCCTTCAATTTTGCATGTGAGAGCTCTCTTGACGTTCAAGACCTTTATTTCTATTCAGGTGTCCCAAATATATATGTATGTGTGTTTGCAGCTGTCAACATTGTCATTATAATTATTATTGCTATTATTATTATTATTATTATTATTATTATTATTATTATTTTGTCACTGATTGCTGTGAAGACTAATGAGTTTTGTGAATGATTTTCCACCAGTCCAGTAATATGTTTTGATGTTGTTGTTTTTTGGTTTGTTTCCAGAAAGGTGAAGGGAGGTAGCATTGATGTTCATCCCACAGAGAAAGCTCTTGTTGTGAACTATGAACTGGAAGCAACTATTCTCGGGGAAATGGGAGATCCCATGCTGGGAGAAAGAAAGGAGTGCCAGAAGATGTGAGAATGAGAATCATTATGAAATTGATTATGTAGATTATTTTTGTACTTAATGTGTACATACTATGTGGACAGATAGACAGACAGACACAGACACTCACACACACACTCTCACACACACACTCACACATACACACACACACTCACACATATCACACATACTCATACACCTGTATACACCTGCATATATATATACTCTCATACACACTCACACACACATACACACGCTCACACACATGCACACATACATGCTCACACACACATACACACACACACACACACACACACACATATATCCTCATTTGAGACATTTTTATAGATTTATAGAGTTTGTGCTGCATATTACCTCTCTGAATGGAATTCTTATTTTCTCCCCACGATAACATAAACAAAAAAAATTTCGTAATCGATAGAAGACTATCCAAATCTTCAGTCAAAGATAGGTCGGATTTTTAGCTAGATGCTCCTACAACATCAGAAATAAAGCTGAACTATCTCGCTGTGTGGTAAAACCGAGTAAGTTTGTTGCTTCTCCAGTAAAATTTACTCCATAGGAGTTTGCTGGTCTGATCACAAGGGTGATGATAAGCTACTTGAGCATGATAACAAGCCATAAAAAAATTATCTCTAAACTCTTTGGAAATGGTTGTGACCGTCTTGTACTTCCATAAACATTCTAGGAAAGGAGATTTTTTTTAAAAATCAAACTTTTTCTTTAAAATGCTTTCAGAATTCGTGTGAAAGGTCTGCATGAAAATAGTGATCTGAGCACCTTAGCCAAAGAAATTATTGAAAAATGCAAGCTCATCCACCCAAGCAAGTTACCCGAAGTGGAGCAGCTTTTGTACTATCTACAAAACCGGAAAGAGACGACCCCAGCTAAAGGTATGTATGTGTGTTGGGTTTGTTTTTTAAAGTTGGTTTGGCACCATCTTCGACAACGTATTACATTCCACCTATTTCAGATTGTGCACGTCTCTTGTCTTTCTCTGAACAGTGACAGAAGAAAGCTCCTGTATCTTTACGAAAAACTCGGGTGATATCTATGATAAGGGAGACTGAAGTCACTTACAGATGTTTCATACTGTAATGAGAGGATAAGTGCTATCTAATCCTAGATTCTGCTCGTTAGTCTATCTACGTTGGTTTCAATACTCACTTTTTCGAGCCGGGAACGATGAGTGTGGGTCATACAATTCCGGAGCTCCGTCCACTGTGTCGACCCACCAGTAGTGTCGATCCCTTCTCAGACTAGGTTTTAGTCGTGGCTCGGAAGGCCGGTTTAACCTTCGCCGTATGTTTATATACCCCCCCGTGCTCCCTTATTCTCCTACACTCAGTAGGCTACACTGAGTTTGTTCACTTATTTCACGTGATTCTGGCTTGTCTGGTGATCACAGCGAATTATAAACCACACATACCATGTCTCTTCCACTGTTGGCTGTTGTTCCAAGTGTCTCTTTGTTGTGTGGATATATTAGTTTAGAAGTTATTTTGAAGTCTGCTCATAGGGTAGGTGAAAGGAGGACAGCCCACAACTGTTGCGCGGAATATTTGGTTGTGAAATATATATACTTTACTCTTTAAACCCCATAGGATGCTGGGAGCGTCCAGTACGATGACAAATGTTTCGTTTTATTTAGTGCTAGTTTTTGCTTGTTTTCTGGAACTATTCCTGAACCAAGTTTTTTAGTGATGACTAATCCTTTGTTACCGCTATTTAGAAGTTGGAGGAAAGCTTCTGGGTTTTTAATGAGACATAGTGCACTAGGTTTAGGTGACTGTAGAGAAAAACTCAGGGAAACGGTGGAAAAAAACTCAGGGCTTAAAACGTTATTGAATCAATTTCTGCTTTTAAATGTGTATCTGTCATAACTGGTATCATGTGAGACTAAATCGCTCGTCATCGACTTTCAGCGTCTGGGAAGACCAAACTGTCCGACAAGCCGGAGGACCCGGCTTTCTGCGACGGCACCGAGATCGACGAGGTGGCAAACATCAACGATGTGGACGAGTACCTGGAGATGCTGTACGAGGATCTGCCCGAGAAGGTCAAAGGTTGCGCCCTCATCCTTCAGCTGGCTCGGAACCCGGACAACCTGGAGGAGCTTTTTCAAAACGGTCGGTCAAAACTTGGTGAAAAAAGTGTCATGTCAGTTTGTGCTGCTATTTAATCCCCCCACTGGTTTAGTATCTTTTTTGTAAGGGCCCGGTGGGGGGGGGTTTCATTTGCTTTTAGTTTTCCTTTGTCCTGCGGTAGTTGAATTGTACCTTTTTAATAATGGCCCTATTTTGTTTGTTTTTTTGGGGGGGGGGGTTTGGTTTTTTTCTATCATTTGCCTTCAGCTTACCTTAGTCCTGAGGTAGGTGAATGGCACCTTTTTAATAATGGCCCTGTTTGGTGAACGCATGTCTTCAAGTGACCGGAGGTATCTCCCTTAATACAGGGAAGGACTGTAGTCTTGTTACGTCCCTTACACAACTGCTTTTTTTTTCCCCTCCTAACAGAAACGGTTGTGAGCGCGCTGGTGCGCATGTTACGTGAGGACTGGAAGCGCAGCACGGACCTGGCCACCAACATCATCTACATCTTCTTCTGCTTCTCCTCCTTCTCGAGCTTCCACGCAGTCATCCTGCACTTCAAGATCGGCACGCTGTGCATGACCATCATCCAGCACGAGCTGAAGAAACACCAGCTGTGGCTAGATGAACTCAACAAGAAGAAAAAGGCTGGTGAGTGAGCGTGTGACATGATTTATTCGGCTGCGACAAGCTGTGCATATGTACTGAGCCCAGGAAGCAAATACAGTAGAGTCCATGAATCTTGAACACGAAAATCACGAATTCTCGGTTATTTCGAACAAAATACTCGGTCCCGTTTCAGTCCCAATGTTTTCTTTCTATCGACTTTACGGAGTTCCCGAACACTCGGAACAAACAACACTCGAAACTCGAACAAATCTACTTCACATTCTAAACTATAGAGCCGGCTATACAGCCTTTCTGGCAGCGCGCAGGTGTTTCTTTGCTATTGTTACAGCCAAAACGTGGTCCTTGTCTCACCACGAGAGGCTGGAGGAAGGGGGGACGGGGAAGGAAGGGGGGGGGGGAGGGGTTGGGGAGTGATGCTAGCCGCATCACATGACTAGTTCACCACGTTTGCATTCATGTTGTGGGACACGCACGGTGCGGATGGCAAGAGGCGCAACTTTCTGTAAGCCAGTGAAATAAGAGGAAAGGAATGACGTAGGAGTCGGCTGTGCACTCGTAAGATTTTCTGCTTTCCCCTTTCATTCATCTTCTTGCTTTCACCCCGTCGACTAAATGGATACCACAAATTAAAAAACTGCACAAAAAAGAGTAAAAGATTCTGGGTCTTTTGTGTGGTCAGGAATTCGTGGCGCAACTTATTGTCAAATATCTCCCCAACTATCCAACATAAACTCTCCGACTTTTGCACAGTGACTTATACCAATTTGTCTCTACAGATCAACATTTTTGTCAACACCTGTTAGCTCTATACTTTCCATAGATCTTGCATAATTTGTTCTCTTATTTTTACTTTTACTTTTGATTGTTGTTTTTTAATGAATATTTTGTGTGTGTGTGCTTAATAAAAAAAAAAAGTAACAGTGATTTCTTTTACTTTTTCTCTACCACACTAAAGGTGCTTCCTTTTCCTGTTTTTTCTGTGTGACAGCTGAAGGAGACAAGAGCAGCTCCAAGCTGAAAGAAGACTACGAGAAAAGTCAGAAGAAATACGAGGGCCTGGTCAGAAAACAGGAGCAGCTGCTGAGAGGTAAATTAGTAATAATAATAATCTAAACTACATATATAACTATCTGTGTGCCCCCCCCCCCCCCCCCCCCAAGCATCTCCAGTAGGTGTGTCCCTCTTTGTCTCCACTGAGTTAATAACTGAGCTTTAACTATCTGTGTCTCCCCATGTCCCCCCCTCCCCCGCCATCCCCCAGTGGCCTACTACCTTCTGCTGAACCTGGCGGAGGACCTGAGCGTGGAGCTCAAGATGAGGAACAAGGGAATCGTGCGCATGTTGGTGAGCACGCTGGGCCGCGAGAACTTTGAGCTGCTCATCCTGGTCGTCTCCTTCCTCAAGAAGCTCAGCATCTTCATTGAGAACAAGAAGGAAATGGTGATTGTCGTAGCTCAAGATTGGTAGATACAGAGTACTGTATTTATTTGGTCGCTTTTGGGGACAAGCGGGCTAACCCAGATTCCGGGGTTTTCCAGAAATATTGACCTACTCCGAAAGTGGGCATTGCCCTACCTATAGGACAAGTTTGGTTTCATTGGTGTGTATATATTTGTTTGGTTATAGAGAAAACTCTCCTTGTCTTTCAAAGAAACTGAACAAGGGTCCGGAAAACTTTACCTTCGATTTTTGTCAAAACAGCATTTTTCGGAATAGCTCCCTTGTGCTTAAAAGCGACCATTTAGTCGGCACACATCGTAATGTGTGCTTGGTGTTGTGGGCAGGTGGACCTGAACATTGTAGAGAAGCTGACCAAGCTGATCCCCTGCGACCACGAGGATCTGCTCAACATCACCATCCGGCTGCTGCTCAACCTCAGCTTCGACCCGGACATCCGCAGCAAGATTGTAAAGTTTGGACTTCTGCCCAAGCTGGTGGGACTGCTCAGTGAGTGATTTTCTTCTTCTTTGTTGCAGTCCTGTGGGTGGTTGGCGGGGGCTCGGGTGTGATTCTTCTTCTTCTTTTCTGTATGGACATCTGTCGTCTTTATCTCCCCTCCTTCTTTATTTGTGTTTGTTACTCTCTTGTTACATGTACCTTTAATTTTCAGCACTTATATGAACTTAGGGAGGGGTTGGGGAGTGATGCTAGCCGCATCACATGACTAGTTCACCACGTTTGCATTCATGTTGTGGGACACGCACGGTGCGGATGGCAAGAGGCGCAACTTTCTGTAAGCCAGTGAAATAAGAGGAAAGGAATGACGTAGGAGTCGGCTGTGCACTCGTAAGATTTTCTGCTTTCCCCTTTCATTCATCTTCTTGCTTTCACCCCGTCGACTAAATGGATACCACAAATTAAAAAACTGCACAAAAAAGAGTAAAAGATTCTGGGTCTTTTGTGTGGTCAGGAATTCGTGGCGCAACTTATTGTCAAATATCTCCCCAACTATCCAACATAAACTCTCCGACTTTTGCACAGTGACTTATACCAATTTGTCTCTACAGATCAACATTTTTGTCAACACCTGTTAGCTCTATACTTTCCATAGATCTTGCATAATTTGTTCTCTTATTTTTACTTTTACTTTTGATTGTTGTTTTTTAATGAATATTTTGTGTGTGTGTGCTTAATAAAAAAAAAAAGTAACAGTGATTTCTTTTACTTTTTCTCTACCACACTAAAGGTGCTTCCTTTTCCTGTTTTTTCTGTGTGACAGCTGAAGGAGACAAGAGCAGCTCCAAGCTGAAAGAAGACTACGAGAAAAGTCAGAAGAAATACGAGGGCCTGGTCAGAAAACAGGAGCAGCTGCTGAGAGGTAAATTAGTAATAATAATAATCTAAACTACATATATAACTATCTGTGTGCCCCCCCCCCCCCCCCCCCCAAGCATCTCCAGTAGGTGTGTCCCTCTTTGTCTCCACTGAGTTAATAACTGAGCTTTAACTATCTGTGTCTCCCCATGTCCCCCCCTACCCCGCCATCCCCCAGTGGCCTACTACCTTCTGCTGAACCTGGCGGAGGACCTGAGCGTGGAGCTCAAGATGAGGAACAAGGGAATCGTGCGCATGTTGGTGAGCACGCTGGGCCGCGAGAACTTTGAGCTGCTCATCCTGGTCGTCTCCTTCCTCAAGAAGCTCAGCATCTTCATTGAGAACAAGAAGGAAATGGTGATTGTCGTAGCTCAAGATTGGTAGATACAGAGTACTGTATTTATTTGGTCGCTTTTGGGGACAAGCGGGCTAACCCAGATTCCGGGGTTTTCCAGAAATATTGACCTACTCCGAAAGTGGGCATTGCCCTACCTATAGGACAAGTTTGGTTTCATTGGTGTGTATATATTTGTTTGGTTATAGAGAAAACTCTCCTTGTCTTTCAAAGAAACTGAACAAGGGTCCGGAAAACTTTACCTTCGATTTTTGTCAAAACAGCATTTTTCGGAATAGCTCCCTTGTGCTTAAAAGCGACCATTTAGTCGGCACACATCGTAATGTGTGCTTGGTGTTGTGGGCAGGTGGACCTGAACATTGTAGAGAAGCTGACCAAGCTGATCCCCTGCGACCACGAGGATCTGCTCAACATCACCATCCGGGCGGGGGGGGGGGGGGGGGGGTAATTTGCCATTTACAACAAAAAAAAAGAAGTTTCATTAAAATATCTAGATTTTAGATATATAGTGTTTTACATGATCGTCGTTCTTTGCAAGCTGGGGAGTGTGAAATAAGGAGCGGGGGTTGCGAAAAAAATCTGAAAAATAATAAACGGGGGGGGGGGGGCGCAATAAATCTGAAAATTGATAAGTGGGTGGAACGCTTTTTCGCTACCTCTGAGTACTGTACTTATTTTTAGTCAGCACCCATCGTAATGTAAGCTTGGTGTCGTGGGCAGGTGGACCTGAACATTGTGGAGAAGCTGACCAAGCTGATCCCCTGCGACCACGAGGATCTGCTCAACATCACCATCCGGCTGCTGCTCAACCTCAGCTTCGACCCGGACATCCGCAGCAAGATTGTAAAGTTTGGACTTCTGCCCAAGCTGGTGGGACTGCTCAGTGAGTGATTTTCTTCTTCTTTGTTGCAGTCCTGTGGGTGGTTGGCGGGGGCTCGGGTGTGATTCTTCTTCTTCTTTTCTGTATGGACATCTGTCGTCTTTATCTCCCCTCCTTCTTTATTTGTGTTTGTTACTCTCTTGTTACATGTACCTTTAATTTTCAGCACTTATATGAACTTATTGTGTTGCAAGTACCGTAAAACCATTTACTCCCCCCGGGGCGGTGCCACTGACTGAAGTGTCTGTAGGCCATTCTCAAAGGGGAGACATTTCTCCTTCTTATACACAGCAGAATTGTAAATGGGCTGATTCAACAATGTCATGCTCATAACTGTGCCTGAACTACAACAGGGAACTGCTGCTTTTTCTTCTCTCATCCTTACTTTCTTCATTTTTTCTCTACTTCTTTTGTATGTTTGTCACTCTCTTGTGACCGGCTATTTCTGGGGTGCCTTGATAGTCGAAGCAGACTTTGTACTGTTGAAGCTAAAGAGGTGAGCAGAGTAAGTCTGATTCCCTGTAAGGACTTCTCTGTGGACATCCAGCCCTTGGTGCTCATATGAACTTATGCAGTTGCGAGCGCTGTAAAACCTCTACTAAAACTAAAACATATCTCCCCTCCTTCTTTTTTGTGTTTGTTACTCTCTTGTAATATGGTTTGCCCACTACGGCTGAATCGGGCAGATCGCACAACTCAATAGCGTGAAACGGAAAACAAACAAGTTTGTTTTTGAAGCAACCAAGTCTGGCTATCGGCCCGATCGGCCGATCCCATCCGTAGTGGGCACCCCGTTATAACACCTCTGATCTTCAGCACTTATATGACCTTTTTGTGTTGCAAATGGCGTCAAACACTTTACTAAAACTAAACTGTTTGTCTGTGTGTGTGCACAGACAACGAGAACCACCAGCAGCTGGTGCTGTGTATCCTGTACCACATCAGCATGGAGGACAAGGCCAAGTCCATGTTCACCTACACCGACTGCATACCTATGGTGAGTGGCTCCTTAACCCTATCTGTACTGTATACCTATGGTGAGTGGCTCCTTAACCCTATCTGTACTGTATACCTATGGTGAGTGGCTCCTTAACCCTATCTGTACTGCATACCTATGGTGAGTGGCTCCTTAACCCTATCTGTACTGTATACCTATGGTGAGTGGCTCTTTAACCCTATCTGTACTGTATACCTATGGTGAGTGGCTCTTTAACCCTATCTGTACTGTATACCTATGGTGAGTGGCTCTTTAACCCTATCTGTACTGTATACCTATGGTGAGTGGCTCTTTAACCCTATCTGTACTGTATACCTATGGTGAGTGGCTCTTTAACCCTATCTGTACTGTATACCTATGGTGAGTGGCTCCTTAACCCTATCTGTACTGTATACCTATGGTGAGTGGCTCTTTAACCCTATCTGTACTGTATACCTATGGTGAGTGGCTCTTTAACCCTATCTGTACTGTATACCTATGGTGAGTGGCTCTTTAACCCTATCTGTACTGTATACCTATGGTGAGTGGCTCTTTAACCCTATCTGTACTGTATACCTATGGTGAGTGGCTCCTTAACCCTATCTGTACTGTATACCTATGGTGAGTGGCTCCTTAACCCTATCTGTACTGTATACCTATGGTGAGTGGCTCCTTAACACATTACACCCTGAGGGCCTGGACGGGAAGTCCATTGTTAGATCCTAAGGGCCTGGACGGGAAGTCCATTGTTAGATCCTAAGGGCCTGGACGGGAAGTCCATTGGTAGATCCTAAGCAAGGGGAAAGAACCCACCTCCCGTGAATACAAGCCTTTAAAAAACACATTTTAAAAATACTAAACAAATTCCAAAAATCCTGAAAAAATAAAAGTCAAAAAGAAAGCTGAATGTAGTTTCAGAAAAATATAACTTTAAGTATGCACAAACTGTTGGAAATGTACTAACTTTAGTTCAATCGGGGTATCCGACCCGTCACTCTCACTCTCAGCCTCGCGGTCGGGCCCTAGATCTAAATTTTTTATTTTTTCCGTCTGATCAATCGGAATCGCCCCAAACTCTTCCTACAACATTTTCATCAAAATCTGAGCCATCTGATTTGTCACATGCTCGTTTTTGCTCAAATCCATCGTTATTTCCATTTTCGAACTCAATTGTGTCGCTTTTCAACAAGTCGAGACACTTTCGAAGTGTCGGTAACGCGATCGTATTTCGATCAGCTCTAATACTAAAACTATTGGCCAGAAAAGTTTCGTTTCAGTACCAAACGAAAGAAGAAACTTTTTGCTATACTATGCAAATCAAAATCCCGGCCCCAGAGTCTCGTCAAGGCGAGACTTTCGTTTCTAAAGGGTGAGTCAGGGTGGAGCGCGTAAGGGAATTCGCGGGCGAGTTAGGGTGTAATGTGTTAACCCTATCCAGACTGTATACCCGTGGTGAGTGGTTCCTTAACTCTTTGAACCCCATCGGACGCTGAGAGCCTCCGGCGGTAATAATAATAATAATAAATAGCATTTGTACAGCGCATACCCCGCTTAACGGCAAGCTCTATGCGCTTTACACTATATTATTACCCCAGCAGACCATAGAACACTCCGAAACATTCTCAGCTTCCCGGGAAGCATACAGTGCAAGCAGCTGATTAAGCGCTCAAACTCTAACAAACTGACAAGATCTTTCGCTGTCTAGAGCCGGGTACCCATTCCCACCTGGGTGAAGTGAGAAAAATTTGTGTAAAGTACCTTTCCCAAAGACACAACGTCGGGCCCTTGACGGGATTCGAACCCACGACCTTACGATTGCGAGTTCGAGAGCCTAACCACAAGGCGACTGACGCCACTAATAACCCTGTTCCCCATCAGACGCTAGGGGCGTCCAGTACTAGTGACAACTGTTTCGTTTTATCTAGTACTAGTTTTTGCTTGTTTTTCAGAACTATTTCCGAAACAAATTTTTTTAGTAATGACTAAGCCTTTGTTCCCGCTATTTAGAAGTTGGAGGCAAGCTTTTGGGGTTATAATGAGACATAGTGCACCAGGTTTAGGTGACTGTCGAAAAAACTCAGGGAAACGGTGGGAAAAAAACTCAGGGCGTAAAGAGTTAACCCTATCTAGACTGTATACCCATGGTGAGTGGCTCCTTAACCCTATCTAGACTGTATACCCATGGTGAGTGGCTCCTTAACCCTATCCAGACTGTATACCCATGGTGAGTGGCTCCTTAACCCTATCCAGACTGTATACCCATGGTGAATGGCTCCTTAACCCTTCCAGCCCAAGCCATTTCTGTACTCTCCCTAACCCCAGTCCCTGCCAATACAGCAGTATTTCAGAAAAGAGGCATGCATTCTAGAAAGTGATGTGGTATCTTTGTAATGAGGATTAGATAACAACATATAACAAAGTATATAGGTAAATGAACAAATATTCTGAAAATTGAAGTTTAATTAGGTTTGATAATTTCGAAAAACATGCAAATTCTGTGGCCCCTAAACTGAGAATATACGCTCTTGGGATGGTGGGAGGTACAGGCACTGCTGAAAATATACGTGTTCGGGGCTGGAAGGGTTAACTATTTAAGGACACAGCGGACATATGTGTTGCGGCCAGGCGGAATCAAGCGCTCGTCAATTTTTGAGCATATGGAGTTATTGGTATCACTTGAAGTTTTATCCTTTTTGTCTAGCTTTTGGTGAAAAAAAATACTCGTCTATCTTGAACAGAAGTTAAGATATTTGCAATTGCCTGGTTTCAGAGGTAAAATTAGTGGGAAAATGGCTTCCAAAGTTTAGTAACTTTCATAGCTTGAGAGTCCTTGGATACTGAGCATAAACATTTTTGTGCCTTAAATCCACGTTCTTCAGTAAAATCCACGCAGAAATGTGTTTTTAAATGGAGATAAAAGATGTTGAGCCAGTAAACAGAAATTTGAAAAAAATTGCCAGACCGGCGAAAAAATGTCGTTGTCTTCTATTTAATTATTTTGAGGAGCGCCTAATTTCACCATGATGCCTCCCATATATATGTCTGATCAGCAGACGAAAGGCAATATTGCCGCACATTTTTTCCGTTATACACATCTGAAACTGGAATTTTCTTATTTCACAGCATGCATGTTGGTGCCTGCCTTTTTGGGGGGGTTTCAGATGGATTGAAATAAAATTAGTGAAAAAATCTGTACTCTGAATTTACGTTTATTTTTTAAAGTGGCTCAAAACAGCTCCTCGAATGACCAGAATGTGAGTCTTCAGTTGTGTAAAGGGGAAACAGGTAGGCTTTTTGCTGTTATTGTATTGTAGATATTTATGATCAGTCAATTCCATATTGCTTGCAGACAATGGGAAGCGTAGTGGTTGCATAAACATCTTAGTAGTGCGTTTGATAACACTGACCTATTTGTGCTGTGTTTTCCAGGCAATGAAAATGCTGTTGGAGAGCCCGGAGGACCCTGACCTTGAACTCCTGGCCTTGTGCATCAACCTGGCGGCCAACAAACGCACGGCTCAGATCATCTGTGAGGGCCCCGGCCTGAAGATGCTGATGAAGAGAGCCTTCAAGTTCAAGGATCCGTTCCTGATGAAAATGATTCGCAATCTGTCCCAGCACCAGGGCCCCACCAAGAACTTGTTCATTGTGAGTGGTTTCCCTTGTTTAACTGTGTGCCCCCGCGGGGCGCCGATTGGCGGCGGTGTGATATAGCGTGTACCGCACCTGTATCCTGGTTCTTGGGGATAGGGGTTGCGCGCTGTGCATGCTTCGTGGGTGGATACTGTTAAAATACATTTTTTGTTTTGTAATGCAAGTGTTTTTACGCCCGCATCGTCACAATTTAGATGATTTGGGAGACGGGCTTCTTATCCTGCCTGTCATAGCCAACCGGGGCTGAGTGGGATACAAGTTTCATCATCATCATCAATGACTTCCACCCCTGGCAGGGTATAGGCCACATACAAGCTCCTTTCATTTATCTCTGTCCTGGGCCATCTTTCCACCCCTGGCAGGGTATAGGCCACATACAAGCTCCTTTCATTTATCTCTGTCCTGGGCCATCCTTCCACCCCTGAAAGGGTATAGGCCACATACAAGCTCCTTTCATTTATCTCTGTCCTGGGCCATCCTTCCACCCCTGGCAGGGTATAGGCCACAAACAAGCTCCTTTCATTTATCTCTATCCTGGGCCATCCTTCCACCCCTGGCAGGGTATAGGCCACATGCAAGCTCCTTTCATTTATCTCTATCCTGGGCCATCCTTTCACCCCTGGCAGGGTATAGGCCACATACAAGCTCCTTCCATTTCTTTCTGTCCTGGGCCATCCTTCCAAGCTCGTTCCAAGTGAGCTTCATCTCTCTCATGTCCCTTTCCACCCATCTCCTCCATGTTTCCCGTGGCCTACCCCTGCCTCGTGCTCCCTCATACAAGTTTGGTGACTTCTAAAGCTCGAGTATCCTTAGAAACCAAAAATTAACATTTGAATAAAATACCTTTGATCAATGTGTTTTCAGCAAAATTCATGCAGAAGTTTTTATTTAAATGGTCATAAATGATGTTGAGTCAAAATAGAAAATTCAGTATAATTTGGCCGTCGGGTGGAAATATGTCAGTTTCTGAGATTTCATTATTTTGACGAGTGCCTGATTTCAACAAGATGACTCACAAATGTCGAATGACGTCATGACATGACAGTCCGTTATCTTTGTATGATGCACGGTTTGTTGTCTTTGTTTGAATTTTTTTCTTCATATGACACACAATTTGCGATCTTTGTTGGACCTTTTTCTTCATGTGATGCACAGTTTATCTTTGTTGGAAATTTTTCATTATGCGATGCCCGGATTTTGATTTTTGTTAGAAATTTGGTTCTGCGTTTTGTATTTTTGTTGGACATTTTTTTTCCGGGTTTTTAAAATATTTTCGTTGGAAATGTTTTTTCTGCTTTTTAAAAATTTTGTTGGAAATGTTTTTTCTGCGTAGGATTACATCTCGGACCTGTGCACGCACATCCTGCAGTGTGAGAACGAGGACTTCAGCCTGGAGTGCCTGGGCATCCTGGGGAACCTGACCATCCCGGACCTGGACTACGAGCTGATCCTCAAGGAGTACGACCTCATTCCCTGGATCAAGGGCAAGCTGCAGCCTGGTCAGTCACGCGACTGTTATGTGTCTGTCCTCGTCTCTCCGTGCGATAATACATGTTTTTATATATATACAGGGTTCCTGTGGCATCTTTGAGGACTGTTTTTTGTCTGTTGTCGTCTCTGACTGCAATATTACATGTTTTTATATATATATATACAGGATTCCTGCGGCCTCTTCGAATTCGAGGAGTCCTTGAAAACTCCTTAAACTTGCATTCAATTCAAGGAAAAATCTCCTTGAAAATTCCTTGAATTTGAGGAACCTCCTTGATAACTCCTTGAATTTTGCCAAATCTGACTTGAACAAAGTTTTTGTTCGGAAAATCGAAACTAAGATTCTTTTCGGACAAATGTAGGCGTATCGAAAATAGACTTTCGGGATTTTAAACATTTCTCCTGCTACATTTGTTTGCAACCAATCAGTAAATAGTCTTTGTGCTCTGGTGTGGTGTGTGATCCAGGAGCGGCAGACGACGACGTGGTGCTGGAGGTGGTCATCCTGGTGGGCACGGTGTGCAGCGACGACGCCTGTGCCAAACTGCTGGCCGAGAGCAACATCATACATCTGCTGATAGAGCTGCTCAATGGTGAGTGGAACATGTAACATCTGCTGATAGAGCTACTCAATGGTGAGTGGAACATGTAACATCTGCTGATAGAGCTGCTCAATGGTGAGTGGAACATGTAGCATCTGCTGATAGAGCTACTCAATGGTGAGTGGAACTGTAATATCATAATAATAGATAGCATTTGTATAATGCAATCCCCGCTCAACAGCAAGCTTTGTGCGCTTCACAATCTGTACTATTACCCCAGCAGACCTGAGAGCGTTCTGAAACAAACTCAACTTCCTGGGAAGCATACAGTGCAAGCGGCCATTTATAGGCACTAAAACACTAACATACTGACAAGATCTTTCTCTGTCTATGGTCGGGTACCCATTCTCACCTTGGTGAAGTAAGGAAAATTTGTGTAAAGTGCCTTTCCCAAGAACACAACGTCGGGCCCGCGGCTCGAACCCCCGAACACACAACCTCACGATTATGAGTCCGGTAGCCTGACCACTAGGTCACCGACGCCACCATGTTACATCATGCCACTATACACCAGCTGATACAGCTACTCAGCGGTGAGATTTTAATTATTTTTTAAAAAATTTTGTGCGTGCTTTTTTTTAACATCCCCTTCGATACAATTTTCTTCATTGGTAGAAAAAAAAAACAGATGTGTACGCCAATGACATAATTCAGATCATTTAGGAGGTGGGCTGACTCAGGCTGAGAAGGATACAATACCCCGGCTGAAAGACTGAAAGCTGATTCCACTGCGTCGTGACACATATGAAGTTATGAGTCCGCAAGCTTTTAAAATTGACACCCTCACAATTTTCCGTTTGTGACAATGCTTGTTTTTCCGTGGACTCTTCAATTTATGTTTGCCGTCTTTAAAAAATTGCCCCCAAAGGGAGGATCATTAACAGTGGCAGTTGGGGGGGGGGGGGGACATGTTTCTTTTTTGTCGTATGATCCTCCATTTTGAATCAGTCTTGGAAAGTTATTGGCTCTTTCTTGACTTTTCTGTTTTCCTAGTTTTTGCAACTTGACTCCATAAATCTTTTTTAGAATGAGATATAGAGCGACATTTCCATCCATTGCTTTTCGAGTCAGTTAATGTGAAGCGTGCTGACAAAATGAGTTACTTCTCGGATTCGAGCACAATGGAAATAGATACATCACGCTTATAGGTGAAGTTTTTACAATTTATAAGTATGAAATAACAAAGGGCATGTTATACTTAAAGAATATGACATCAATAGAAAATCTGCAAATTTGACCCGAGTTTCGATTTTTGACCAGTATTTCCATTTGTGGATTGCGAGAAGAAACTTCTTTTGTCAGCACGCCTCACAAATTGTCTAACAATTGAACTGTGGTCTGACTGAGGTTACATGTCACTTTGTCTACAGTGGGTTGGGGGTTTTTTTGCCTTGTAGATGTGCCCTCGTTTATGACAAAAGCGCCTATGATGGGTTAATTTTTCTCTTCTTTTTTTTTTTTTTTTTTTACTTGACAGCCAAACAGGAGGATGATGAAGTGGTGTGCCAGATTGTGTACGTGTTTTATCAGATGATCTTCCACGAAGCAACCAGAGAGATCATTATCAAGGAAACTCGTATCCTTTACTTTTACGCCATCTTATAAATACTATTTTATCTTATCTTATCTTTACCTGATAGGATGTGTCTGTGGAATTTTGTTACTGGTCGTGCGAGGAACTTGAATATTCAGACTTGATCGACTCAAGAGTTGATGAATGGACAGACTTACTCTGTGATTATATTTCTTCTTCTTCTTCTTCTTCTTCTTCTTCTTCTTCTTCTTCTTCTTCTTCTTCTTCTTCTTCTTCTTCTTCTTCTTCTTCTTCTTCTCCTCCTTCTCCTCTTCCTCCTCCTCCTCCTCCTCCTCCTTTTTCTTCTTCTGCTTCTTCTTCTTCTTCCCTTTCCCCTGTTTAGAATACAACTGTTCCCCTTGTCTTGTACAGTGTTTCCGACCAGCCTTTGTGATGTGTTGATAAGGCTCTTTGCCTTTCCATGCCAAAGGCATGACTTGATTTTCATGAGAAGAAGCGCTTTTTTAATAAAGTATCTCCGTCTTGCTTCTGAAATACTGTTTTCCCACTTTGTCCATATTGGATTTGACAGGCAGAGTCGAAGTAACCAGACAACAAGATGATCTGGATTTTGTGGATGAGGGCGAAAAACATTTACAATCAAATGGAAATAGCCAACGGTTGCAGCGAGTTTATAAATACTGCTACTTGGCACTGGGATGAAGGTGAAAGCTCACAACTGATGAATAAATGACAAATATACGCTTAGACGCTCACATATATGCATATTCTGGTGCAGGCACTTATAAACACCCTCAGACAGATGCACACAAACACTCACACACACATACACATACACACACACATGCTTACACACAAACTGTACACACACACACACATACATACACACACACACACACACATACGCTTACACACAAACTATACACACACACTCATATGCACACACATGCTTACACACAAACAGTACACAAACACACACACGCACACACACTCATGCAAATACACTCTTCCACAAGTAGCACCCTCTAAGGCGAAGCATCATGTTCAGATTGCTACAGACTGCTTGTTGAAAAGATGAATAAATTATGGATGAAATGTCCTGATTTGATTGGTTCTCCGCCTTGACCCAGTCCCAGAGGCCCCGGCCTATCTCATTGACCTGATGCACGACAAGAACGCCGAGATCAGAAACGTTTGTGACAACACTTTGGACATGATTGCTGTAAGTTCAAAAGTCGAACCAACAGAGATGTCTGTGTGACTGTGCTAGATATGATTGCTGCAGTTTCAAATCGAGACAAATGTCTCTATATATATGGTAACAGGCTCTTATGTGATTGCTGTCACTTCAGACTTTGAGAAATGTCAGACTCTGGACTTTTTTTTTTCTGACTTGCAGATGAAAACATCTTAATTTTTTTTTTCTGACTTGCCTGCTGTAAGGATTTGAAAACTGATTTTAAAAAAGATAAAAACATCTTATCATATAATTTTTTAAAATCTTGCCTGCTGTAGAAATTTGAAAACTGATAAAACATGAAAACATCATATTTTTTTTCCTTTGACTTGCAGATGAAAACATCTTTATTTTTTTAAATAATTTTTCTGACTTGCCTGCTGTAAGGATTTGAAAACTGATAAAACAGATAAAAACATTGGGGTTTTTTTTTTTTGGGGGGGGGGGGGGGGGGTTTACTTGCAGATGAAAACATCTTAATTTTTTTTTTTTCTGACTTGCCTGCTGTAGTAATTTGGAAACTGATAAAACAGGTGAAAACATCTTATCATATCTTGTCTTTCCTGCTGTAGGAATTTGACGAGGAGTGGGCCAAGAAGATCCAGCTGGAGAAGTTTCGCTGGCACAACTCTCAGTGGCTGGAGATGGTGGAGTCTCGCCAGCTCGACGGCTTTGGCGACCCCGGCTACATGTACCCCGACGAGCCCGGCCTTGACCCCTACCTCCAGGACGCCGACATACTGGACCGGCCTGACCTCTTCTACGGTCAGTCCACTTCTGTCTACTCGTCCGCGCTGCCTTGCCGACTGGCGTGGGCGATCGTGGACCTCCACTTTCGACACTCTGTCCTGTGTTGCAGCGATGTTGTCTGTCAGTCTTGCTGTTCCCAGCCATGTTGTCAACTTGTCCAATATCTTTTCTCTCTGTCTGCCTCTGCCTCTCTTTCCATCAAACTTGCCTGTTGTTAAAATATTCTCCAATGCTCCTTTCCGCGTTGTGTGTCCAATGAATAATGTAAAACTCTGGTGTCTTGTGTCATTTTTCAGACTGACATATATGAGGCGTGCTGACAAAATGAGTTACTTCTCGCAATCCACAAATGGAGATATTGGCCAGAAATCAACACTTTTGGGTCAAATTTGTTGTAGATTTTCTATTGATCCCATTTTCTTTAACTGTACCATGCCTTTATTATTTCATACTTATAAATTGTAAAAACTTCACCTAGAAGCGTGATGCATCTATTTCCATTTAAGGCTTGAATCCGAAAAGTAGCTCATTTTGTCAGCACGCTTCACATATTGTTCTTATGCATAGCAGAATTGTAAATGGGCTGATTTATAAATGTCATGCACATACTGTGCTCGAACAACATATGGGGAACTGCTGCTTTTTCTTTCCTCATCCTTACTATCGTCATTTTCCTCTACTTCTTTTGTATGTTTGTCACTCTCTTGTGAACTGCTGTTTCCAGGGTGCCTTGTTAATCGAAGCAGACGTTGTGCTGTTGAGACTAGAGAGGTGAGCAGAGTAAGCCTGATTCCCCGTTTGGACTTCATATGACTTTGTGCAGTTGATAGCGCCGTAAAAACCTTACTGAAACTAAAACTAAATCTAGTAACGAGCGATCGTGCGATCATTTGTCTATCCTCCATTTTTTTCAGGAAATATTGCTCGACACCCAGCTTACTAAAACTTGAAAAAAAAAAAAAGTTATTATTAAATACGTTTCCAAAGTAGCAAAAATGAGATGTGCTATTTTGCTAGCACATTGACAATTTGTAATATTTATCATAGTGTATTTTCATGCTCTTTTGTGACCCTCGAGTTTTCGCTTTTATTCACTTTGGTTGTGTGAGTGGTTGGCGGGTGCTCTGATGTGGTTTGCTCCTTCTTTCCTATCAAACATCTATCGTCTTTATCTCTCCTCCGTATTTTTTTTGTGTGTTTGTTACTCTCTTGTGACACTTCTAATCTTCGGCACTTATATGACCTCATTTTATTGCAAGTGCCGTAAAACTCTTACGAAAACTAAAACTTTGGTTGTTTTCTGTCTGGTGGTCACAGAGGGTTTTGACAACAGCATGATGATGGACGGTCACCTGACCCCAGAGTACATCGACGACGCCGGCCTCTACAGCGACTTCTACACTCAACAAGCTTACGGGTGGGTCATCACCGTCATTGACTTTCTCTCCCTGGATCAGGGTATAGGCTACGGACAAACACTTTCTCACCCTGCACCAGGCTATAGGCCACGGACAAACACTTTCTCACCCTGCACCAGGGCATAGGCCACGAACAAACACTTTCTCTCCCTGCACCAGGGTATAGGCCATGAACATACACTTTCTCACCCTGCACCAGGGCATAGGCCACGAACAAACACTTTCAACCTTTCTCTATCCTGGGCTAGCCTCTTGATGTTATTCCATGTCTTCCCACTTTTCTGTACATCTATTTCTGTGATTCTTCTCCAGGTTCTACGGGTGGGTACCAGCTTGGGAAGAATAACACAACCAGTTCTTTTCATTGTCTTTTTTTTCAATGTCTGAGCGTTCTTGGGCGTTGCTTAGGTCATGATATCAGCCATCAAAATTCTCCTTCTGAATCAACCATCTTGTTATAAGTATTCATATGACCTTAGAACTTGCTTCAAAATAACATGTAGTATGTATCTAGCTTAAGATTATTATTGTTTAGATAACTGTTCATGTATATTATGCATGTGACTGTAAGCCTGCGTGTGTGTGCATGTTTGTGTGTGTGTGCATATGTGCCTGCGTGTGTGTGTGTGTTTGTGTGGTGGAACACCAAATCAGTGTGCCAGGATCTGGACAACAAAGATGTATCTTATCTTATATTTGTAAAACGCAAAAGAGCATGAAGTAGAGTGGAGATGTGTTATACAAAACTGCAGTTACTTATACTATTATTATTATTATTATTGTTACAATTATAAATATTACTATTATTAATAATAATTATTATTATTACAATTGAATCATTGGTGAGATGCTCAGTGCATGTTCTCAAGGTGGGTAATTTGAGGGTGCTCTTGTGTGATTTGCTCCTTCTTTCCTAACAAGGGCTCTCATCCTTCTTTGATTTGCATGTTACTATATCTAGTAATGGCTCTAATCTTCAGCACTTATATGACCTGTGTGTGTTGCAAGTGCCGTAAAACGCTTACTTAAGCAAAAACTTAACTGCTATGTTCACAGATACGATGAAGAGCCGTACACCCGGCCAGAAGGTCATCTTGGCTTCGTACAAGATGGCCACCAGGTGGATCCGTATGGGCGAGCTTTGGACCCGTACGGGCCGGAATACGGAAACTACCTCAACGGAGATCCGGACGATTACCCCTACCAGACGGAATACGGATACAGATAAAGGAGAGTTTGTCTTCTCTTTTGTTTATTAACCCTTCCAGCCCCATGCACATATATTTTCAGCAGTGCTTGTACCTCCCAGTCCCGAGAGCGTATATTCTCAGTTTCAGGGGGTACGGAATTTGCGCATTTTTCGAAATTAGTGAACCTAATCAAACTTTCATTTTCAGAATATTTGTTCATTTACCCTTAAACATTGTTATATGTCATTATCTAAACCTCATTACAAAGATACTACATGAATTTTTTGAATGCATGCCTCTTTTTCTTAAATACCGCTGTATTGGCAGGGACTGGGGTTAGGAAGTATACAAAAATGACTGGGGCTGGAAGGGTTAAGAAGGACGGGGGGGAGGGGGTGCGGGATGCAATTTTTGTGAAAGTGGAAAGGTTCCACATACAGGCATGGGGCATCGCTTGGTGTGGAAATCTTGGTGGTTCAAAATCAGCGCTTGTCGTTGTCAATCTTTTTAACAGCCAGCGGCCAATTTCTCCATCTTTACTAGTTGTGAAATATACAGAGCTTGCTGTAGGGTGTGGATATAATGCGCTGTATGATGCAGTTGTTATTATTATTTATTATTGTTATCATGAGGCTAACATTTTCACACTTCCTACCTACATGTATTTTCCAACGGGGCATTGTCACATCGTAGGTGATCCCAACCACTTCTGGGTGATCCCAACCACTACTGGGTGATCCCAACCACTATCCTGGGTGATACCACTATCCTGGGTGATCCCAACCACTATCCTGGGTGGTCCCAACCACTATCCTGGGTGATCCCAGTCACTATCCTGGGTGATCTCAACCGCCGTGACCCACCAAAGTGACCGAAGTGCCCTCTAGCGGGCTATCTCGCCCACGTCGGCAAGCACAGGTCTAAATGACTCGGTGTCAAAATATCATGTCCTTGCCATAATCTTTTCCACATGTTGCTTTGTGTACACGCATGCAAAGGGATGGTGGGTCTCTTGTTTTTGACTTCATACTGAAATTGAAAGGACGTATTGTTCGGCGTAGAAATTTTTCTTTTACTTCAATTCTTTTTTTTTTTAAGCAATCCCTCAACCTCTTGGTCTACGTTTTTGACTGTATGCCAAAGCCTCATGCCCACCCCCCCCCCCACCCCCCAATCTACTATCAATTTATTATTATGAAGTGTAGATAACGTCCATATATATAGAGCCACAGTGCTCAGTTGTATGCTACTTGTTCTGTAGGAGGAGAAAGGGCTAAATTTGAGAATCTGGTTACCTTTGAGGTGAAAGGGGGGTGTGGAGGGGGGGGGGAGGTGAGGTTGGGGAGGTGTGTCTTGATGAGATTTGCATACCTTAGGCTTGTCAAGACTTCGGTTCTTATGCATGATGGGATTTTTTTTGTTTCTTTATGAGTATTCTTGCAATCTGTGATATGATAAAATCTTTTTCGTGAACCTTATGTCTCGTGTACTTTTATACAATTTTCTTCCTCCTGATTGTGTATGGTGATTTACTGAATGATGAAGAGTATTCGGGTCAAATTTCCTCAAATAATGAGATTTTGGCACAACCTGATCAGATCGTCCAAAGTCTGACATGTTCATTTCTGTGGGTGTCGATCAACATGGTAGACATCATGACTTTTGTCTCCCTTGTAATAAGACCAGCCGACCCACAAAATACAATCTATTTTTTTTCTACTTGACAAATGGATAATGAATTACCGGTATCCATTTCGTACGCTAAGTCAAAGACAGGTCTGAATTTTGACAAGAAATGCTCCCAAAATGTTAGAAATTATAAAGTCGGCTTCGAAGTCGCTATGTGATGAAACCACGCTGTCAACTCTCCTATTCTCCCGTAAGTCAACTCTCCCGTAAGTCAACTCTCCTATAAGTCAATTCTCCGGAGGGATCACAAGGTCGGTGATTCGTAAGTCAACTCTCACTAGGTCAATGATTTGTTGGTCCAAGGGTCATGGAGAGGTCGTGCCTACTTGAACTACTTGTTGTGTAGAGGACAGAGTGGAAGTTTTGCTTCTCCTGGAAAAGTTCAACTGCCCCGGGGGATAGCCGGTCCGATCACCCGGTAGATGATTCGTTCGTCGTGTGTTCTGGGAAGGCTGCTCCGCTCCTCGTTTGTACCTGCCTTTTTGTCCTCCCAAGTTTTCAGCGTGCATCACAAACTTCCTTATGTGCTCCTACACTGTTGTGATGAAATAAACACCAAACTGAGTAGAAGTGAATGATCAGATCGGTAAATATTAACAATTTGATTATTTATAGATGGTTTGAATTTGCCGAAATTTGGTAGATTAGCAGCTGAATTACAAACGTTTTTGGAGACTCTAAAATGACGGTCACGCGTTTCCTATGTTAAAAATGGACCAATTTTGCCTGAAAAATGACGATGAATATTGGCCATAACTTTTGAACTAATAAAGCTATCTAAAAAATTTTAAAAGCATAATAATCGGTGTCCCAGGCTCTATCCATTGGTGTGTCTTTTTGTTCTATTTAATCAATCTGAATTTTTTAGAAAAGTGCCTAGTAGAAGTGAATGATCCAAGCAGTCAACAAGAACAGTTTGATTATAGATGAGTGGAATTTGCAGAGGCTTGATTGGTAGATTTTTGTCATGACAGTAAACAACCGAGTGATGCTGTGGTGAGCCTGATGAACCTGACCGATGTATGATAAGCATTAACGTCTGAGTGGGGTTTTTTGTGGGGGTTTTTAGTAGCAAATTTGAGAGTGAGAGGTTGGACATGACGTGTTTCATCGCCTGTGAGACTCTGCTCCCTGATCTTGTAGACCTGAGTGGGTTCTTGGATACACTGACACTGCTTTATTCTCACCGTGGGGAAGAATTATGTGTTAGTCTGTCCCCGTGGTTTTATGCACCCACCCCGCATAATTTAGACAAATTTGATCTTTTTTTGTCATAATGTGAGATTATTTTCCTTTATCATTCTTTGTTGAAATTAAAAGGATCGCATAATTTCAAATTTTTCGGCTCAGTTTGCATAATTTAAGAATTTTTTTTTTCATAAAACCGTGGGGACAGGTTTGTGTGTATACACGGATGTGTTGGGAGATGCAAACTCTATGTTAAATTATGGGTACTTGCTGCTATACTTTGACTGAAATCCTCCCGAGACATTTGGCTGCTTTGCCCTAAAGCCTGATGGTCTTTGTTTTCGTCCCTATGCCCGCATGTCTTGTGGCGAGGAACTTGGTTTTGTGCCAAAGAAGTTATTTATAATCTGTTATGATCTGTTGTCGTTTTTGGTCAGTTCGTCATGTATTTGTGGTAATATGATTAATATGCTTACTGAATACTGCCTGGTTATTGAAATATAACATTTCTTCAAAACTGTGTACAGTGGACTCTGCTTAAACCAAACATGGTTAATCCGAAAACTGTGGTAAACCAAAAGTAAATAAAATCCCTGATTTTTTTTTTCTGTGCCATTTTGCAATCTTTCTACTCTAAACCACAAATACGGCTAATTGGCAGAAAATACAGCTGCTGTCCGGCACATTTCGGTTTCAGCAGTCTCCTCTGTTTGTATAAATCTATATGTGTCATGACGCAGTGGAATCAGGCGCTCGTCAAATTTTGGACATATAATCGTATATGGAGTTATTTGTATCATCTTAAAGTTAAAGTTTGTTCATTTGTCTTGCTTACGATGAAAAAAATATCCATTTATCTTGAGTAAAATTCAAGATATTTGCTAGTGAAGAGGTGGGGGTTGCCTGGTTTCAGTGGTGAAATTAGCGAGAAAATGACCGCCAAAGTTGAGTAACTCTGACAGCTAAAGAGTCCTTGACAACTGAAAAGTGACATATTTTGGGCCTTTAACCATCGTTTTTCAATAAAAGCCGCACAGAATTGTGTTTTAAAATTGACCTAAAGTGTGTTGAGCCAGAAAAAAGGAAAATTAGAAATATATTGCCTAACTGGAGAAAAAATGCCTGTTTCTCCAATGTCGTTATGTTGACGAGCGCCTAATTTCACCACGATATATGTGAGGCAGCGTGGAGGAATCAGGCGCTCGTCAATTTTTGGACATGTAGAGTTATTGGTATCATCTTAAAGCTTGTTTACTTTGTCTTTATTTTGATGAAAAAAATATCCATTTATCTTGAATACAAGTCGAGATATTTGCGAAAGAAGGAGGTGGGGGTTCACTCGTTTTCAGAGGTAAAATTAGTGAGAAAATCATATGGCCACCGAAGATTAGCTATTTCCTTAGCTTAAGAGTCCGTGGTAACTGAAAATTTGCATTTTTTGTGCCTTTAATCAACGTTTTTCAGAAAAATCCACAGAGAAATGAGTTCTTTAATGGGCATGAAAGGTGTTGGGCCCCAAAAAAAATTTGATAAAAATTCACAAACTTGCGGAAAAATCCAAGTTTCTTCACTTTGATTATTTTGACGAGAGCCTGATTCCACCACGCTGCCTCACATGTATATAAATGACAGTTTGAACATGTGTTGCTGTGTCTTGGGACTAGTGAAGGCGTCCATCTTACAACTGGCAGAAGTCAAGAGCTGGATCTGTGTGGATTTAGTTTTTCCGTTTGTCCAAGGTGTTTAGTTCTCTCTGCCTCCACCAATGAATTCCGTCCTTCTATTCTTGTTTCATCGTATTTCAAAGCTTACATCTCTATCATCACGCCATGGCTGAATGTGGTCTGGGAGTAAAAGTTGTCTTGAAAGGACCAAAAAAAAATATTAACCCACTCTTCATAAAGATTCACCCCATGCTTGTCGTCTGTCATTTTAAACAATACAACACATTTTTTCTTCTTCTATTTTCTAACGGGCCACTTCCAACCAAAAGGGTATATATGTCTGTTATTAGAAAAACGGGTTTGCCACGCTTCTCCCGAGTCCCTCATGCTGTATGGAGCTCTGTGTTTTTCCTGCCAGGCACGAATGGTTTGTCGAGTTTGATGTACAATTTATTTTAGCTGTTTCACAGATGTGTTTTGTTTTGAGGTAGGTGTGTGTGTGTGTGTGTGTGTGTGTGTGTGTGTGTGTGTGTGTGTGTGAAAGAATTGCCCCGAATGAGATGAAAATGAACCTATACTATACTAATTTAGATTAATTTTTTTAACATTACTGTTGACGTGTGAGAGTGAAGACAAAAAAAAGATGGAAAAGAGATAAT